CCACAGTTCTTTGGGCACTCTGTCCACCAAATCTAGTTCCTTAAATCTCTTCTTCATTTCCACTATGTATTCATAAGGGATTTGGTTTAGATTATACCTGACTAGCCCAGTGGTTTTTCCTACTTTCTTCAGTTTAAACTTGAGTTTTGCTATAAGAAGCTAATGATCAGAGCCTCAATCAGCTCCAGGTCTTGTTTTTGCTGACTGTATCCCCATCTTTGGCTGCAAAGAATATAATCAATATGATTTCGGTATTGCACATCTGGTAATGTCTATGTGTGGAGTCACCTCTTGTGTTGTTGGAAAGGAGTGTTTGTGATTACCAGCTTGTTCTCTTGACAAAACTGTATTAGCCGTTGCCCTGCTTCGTTTTGAACTCCAAAGCCAAACTTACTTATTGTTCCTTTTATCTCTTGACTCCCTACTTTAGCATTCCAGTCCCCTATAATGAGAAGAACATCTTTCTTTGGTATCAGTTCTAGAAGGTGTTGTAAATCTTCATAGAATTGGTAATTTTCAGCCTCTTCAGCATTGGTGGTTGGTGTATAAACTTGGATTGCTGTGATGTTGAAAGGTCTGCCTTGGATTCATATAACTTAATACTCCCAGGTATATTTTTATAGGATGGTACCCTCAGGTTACAAACACAGTATACACTAGTGACACAATTGAAGCAGTAAATTCTAAAAAATCCTATGTTCAAAATCTTTATTTCAAAGAAGCCTTCCACACCGATCTGTCTGTTGAGGAAATGTGTTACAGAGGATTCTAAACAGGGCTTGCCATAGACATTTTGTGGCCCGGGAGGGGGGTGAGGTCTCCCACATCCCATGTATAGGATCTTCAGTGTTGAAACTTACTCCAGCATTGGGACAGGACAGTGTTCTCTGCTACATCTGATGACAGTAGGATGATACCTACCCCCAATATTTGCTGCTTGAGTTAACTTGCTTCTTTCTAATCACAGAACCAGTTGTGAGGGGAGCACTGGTTGGGCCTAACCTATTAGACCTTACGGTCACCCACTTCATAATGAAAGGGTGACTGAGAACCCACCCAATCTTTTTCATTAACTGAGCATTGCAAAGAAATGCAGTGGTGCCAGACCAGTACCAAGCTGGTAATAGTTGACCACAAGCTGTCTTTCAGTCATGTTTTCCACCAAAAAGTTGGGGGGAAAGTTAGTTTTATGGCCCAGAGCTCTCAGATTCTACCCAGCCGAAATGGACATGTTTTCTAAGGCTTGGCCAGCACTGACAGATGTACACTTTCAAAGGAATCTTGGGATTTCCGGAACTTACTTGGAGAACAACTGAGACAGAAAGGTAACCATGGTTACTTTTAAAAGCATGTTCCGAAGACCATTGGAATTGTGACAGTTAGAACATGAACAAGTGGGGGGAGGGGTACATCTGTTTCTTTTCCTCTTCCTGATGGACAGAAGGCTGTGTAGGCTTGAGTAGGAGGGAAGGATGGGCTCTCTCTTGCACCATGCAAGCTGGCAGCGGTTCGTTGTCCCTTCCCTTGTTCATCACCCCACACTTTCTCCTCACTATAGGAGTGATGCTGAATACTCTCAGTGCCTCAAACAAAGGTAACTGACATCTGTTCTACAATGTCAGGGCATGTGAGTTATGCAGGGCTCTAACACAGAAACCCACTTCAGGGCAATATTTCATTTTTTTAAAAAAACCAAATGGCCTGAGGTTCAAACTCCCTTTCTTGATGTTGTAACCCCCTAAGGAAGAAAGCCTTTCACTTAAGAACAGCTATGTGCAGAGCCTGGAAATGTTATTGCTAATTTTTTTTCAACTAAAGCTCATAGAATCTACCAAGAGAAATGCCGGAACAGGCAATGTCTTTGTTGGACCACTAAAAAACCCACAACAAACCAAAATGAACAGTGAGCTTCCAGTGGTAATTCATCTTCCTCAGGCTGTGCGCCAAGTTCTTGTTGGTAGTTCCAAAAGTACATGTTTTTATTAAAGTCCCAAAATCCCATAACCACAGGTCAGGTGTAGCTTCTTAGATGAAGGAGACAGCTGCAGTCTGCAAGAGGTCTGTTGCATGAGGGTGTGGCTTCAGTCAATGATTTGAACTTTATCACTGATCCCTCTAAACCAGTGGTTCTTAACTTTGGGTTACTCAGGTGTTTTTGGACTGCAACTCCCAGAAGCCTTCACCACCAGCTGTGCTGGCTGGGGTTTCTGGGAGTTGCAGTTCAAAAACACCTGAGTAACCCAAGGTTAAGAACCACTGCTCTAAACAAAAGGCAGCCTTTTCCTGATTTTTTCTGAACTGTGTAGAATCTACCAGTCAGTGTGGTTAGTGGCCACAATGAGTGACGGATTTTGGGTGCTGTTGTCCAAAATGTACTATTGCCAGGGTTGACACTAATATCACACAATTTCGAGTCTCAAAATAGGCTCTGGCCTCAACCTTACAGTTGATTTTGATTTCAGGTGAATGGGAAACATCTTCTCAGGCAAATTAGAACCCAATGGATAATATAGTGTGTTCATTTTTATAGTATCAATGGTTGTTTAATATTCATTGTTCATTTTTTTGGCAGTCACTTATTTTGGTCAGGTTTTTTTGTGTTAGAGCCAACACATGTTGCATAAGAAAAGGATTAGGATTCAGTCTTTCTTTATTTCCTGATCCTGTAACCAACTAATTCCCTTTTCCACTAGGATAAATCATGTTCCAAGAAATGCTATTGATCTTTTTGGAAGCTTATCAGAATTTCCTCAGCCAGAATAACAATGTGGTGGTCAGATAAGGTTCTGAGAAAAACAGCTTGGTCACTACGACTCTCTACCTTTTCCCACAGTGTGAGGCTTATTGATGTGTTAGTGAGTTGCATGCTCAGTTCATGTGATGCAAGCCCAAATGGCCCTTATGAACTGAAAGTTTATAGATTTTGGTTGGTCTCCTGGAACCTGTTCAGAAACTTCTCCATGGTATTGGGGTTCTGTTGGAATGCCTTGCTATTGTCTAAGTAAATAGTGAGAGCTTTTCTGAAAGACAGAACATTTGGAAGCCATTGTACCATGAGACACACTGACATAATTTGCCCTGGGCTGAGCACTGACTTTTGCATCAGAAAGTGTTAGGTAGGAAACCTGGGTTAACAAAAAGCGCCTTTCCTTTATCGCTGAGTGAGTAATGTAAGCCACACATATCTAGAAGTGTGTGTGTGGGGGGAGAAGCTTCCAGGTAGGCATCCTGAAACATTTTTGACAATGATAAACCTTTGAGTGGCTTCATGTAGAGGTGGAGTATACTTGAATGCTTAACAAGAAATAGTCTCTTTATGGAGCAGTGTTGTGGACCAAATCTATGCACATTGTGGTGGAGAGAGGTATTGTCTTGCATGCTGGCAGAATGGGTGCCAAAATACTAAATATGTGCTTTAGGGTTATGAAGTAGAGAAACATATATTTAAAGAGGAGCTCTTTGGAATTATGCTTAATATCATGTAGCAAGGATGCCCTGCATCTGTTTTAAGTGAATACATTTAGTGCTAACACAGGAAGCAGCAGTACGGCTAGTTTGCCCCAGGACTATCCCTACCTCCACCTACATTGCCTCTAAGAAATAAAAGGCCTCTAAGAAAGGGTTTTCTCTAAGAAAAAGTCATTTCAAAGGATTTTGCTGGGGACAAAATGGCTACCCTCACTGCCCCGCTAGGGAAATAAGTGGGTTGATGTAACTCTACATCATGGAAGAATCTTAGAACTGCAGAGCTGGAAGAGATCCTAGGGATCAAGGAGGCCCAGTGGAGACTCGAACTTCTAACCTAAGCCACCAAGCTATTGAGCTCAGCCCATCCACCAGTGGCCTCATGTTCACTCCTATCACAATTCAGTGCAGGCACTTCACCCTTTTAAGGGTTTAATTTCTGGAAAACAAGCAAAATCTATAAACTTTCAAGTAGAGGGATGGACTACCTTAACAATGAGACATCTTTGTTTTGTGATTGGTCTTCAAGAGAAGAATATGGGGTTTGTTTGTTTGTTTGTTTTGCAAGTCTGTTGCCGAGACACAAAGGTCTGCCAAAATCATATCTCCAGAAGACCTTTGGGATTTCAGCTTCTAATGACATTGCCATCTGTAAGGTCTAGTTTGATCTTAAGTCAAGCCAGGAGCTTGTTAGCTCTAAAAAAATATACAATGAACGTTTGCCTGTGTCTCAACCATCCTGCTATTCAATGGGGGATGGAGAGGACCCCTTGATTGTATATCCTTGTTGTTGTTTAGTCGTTAAGTCGTGTCCGACTCTTCATGACCCCATGGACCAGAGCACACCAGGCCCTCCTGTCTTCCACTGCCTCCCGGAGTTGGGTCAAATTCATGTTGGTAGCTTCGATGACACTGTCCAATCATCTCATCGTCTGTCATCCTCTTCTTCCTGATTGTATATCCTGGCAAGCTATAAACTGATAACTCTGATAGTTTCTTCCTGATAGTTTCTTCACATTCCTCATCCTGCTCCCCCAGATAGAGAGACCAACGTGCTTAACCAATGAATTCTTTGTCTTTCCCTCATCTTCATATGAAGAGGATGAAGAGTGATGGAGAATGCAAAGCACCAGTTTTCAAACACTTTAATGGTTCTAGGAGAACACTGCATCTTGTGTTCATTTATGCATATCCTCATTATCGTCATTCTTGTTGGCTATAGTGTTCCACTTTAAAGGGGAAGCAGATGTCAAATTCAGTCCTGGCCTCATGCTCCCCAGGCTGCTTGAAAGAGCACAGAAAGAGGTGAGACCCAGAAGACATTAAAAAAACATCCTCCTCAGATATGAAGGATTTCAATTGTTCTTGTTTTTGTTGTTCATTCCGGCCCAACTGGTAGATTGACTGATTGCATTGCATTTCCATCATACTTTTTCTCCAGTGTGCTGAAAACAATGTAAATGGTCTTTCTTGACTCCCTGCCCCTCACCCATTTTTAGTTAAAATGAGAGACAGTTACTGACACAAGGCCATCAGCTGAACTTCTTAGACATGTTCAGATTTGAACCTAGCTCTCCCCAGTTCTAGTTATACAGTCTTACTGTTACAGTGTGCTGGTTCTCTGGTTCTAGTCCTAGTTTTATTCCTAGTCCTATCTCTCAGTCTTAGTCCCAGCCCCGGTTCTAGTTTTATTTATTTATTTATTTATTTAACTTATATGCCCCCCACACTACCCGAAGGTCTCTGGGTGGCTTACAGCATTTAGAATACAATAAAAGGGCAAAATAATTAAAATGCAATTAAAATATATATTCTAAAAATTGCCATCAGACCTACAGCTGATATTATTTCAGTTTTGCTGGGTCACTGAGGGTACGGTTGCATACTTGATGGATGTCACCTTTGCTGGAAGAAAAGGCCGAATGAGAGGGACTGACTGGTCCAAAACCACTCAGTGAACTTATTTTCAATAAGGGGTTGACCCCTGTTCATTTCCAATACTAATTATTGTATACTTTTCTCCGCAGTACAAAATGGAGTAGAGGAAGAAAAATATCCTCTTAAGATGATGAAAAAGAATTACATTTATGGCAATACCAAGCATAAAGGTAATGTTACATTTCCCATCCAAACATGATAATTCAGAATTACCGAGAAGACGATAGTTCACAGAAGTTCAACAGAAGTTTATATATATATATACATATAAACTTCTTTTTATCCAGAAAAGGGAAAGCTTGTGATTTAAGGTAGGCTTTGGACAATCAGTCTTACCTCATAGGACACTTGCCTGCGTTATGATGAAACTGACAGAAATTCTACTTGACATCAGAGACAGCTGGATAAAACCTCCCAATGTGTAGTCTTGGCTTTCTCTTTAGGACATGTTATCATTCTGATGTGAAATTTGTACCTGGTTGATACCAGTTCACACTGCAAATGTCAGAAAACTGAGTTATTCTCCATATAGAAAAATATATCAACACCTTCCACATAGAAAACAAGTATGCCAAGGAAATGCCCAGACTAAGAACTCTTCCTTCTTAACAGTGATCAGCCAGTTGTGGTGATCACTAACTTTTCATCTTCTTGTTCTGCAGTGGATGTCTATGTCAAGGTGCACAGAAACAGCCCTTATCTTGTCTGCATGGATTTGTCTCTTTCACAAAATGAAGTCATAGACCCTACCTACCTATGGATTGGACCAGATGGACACACACTAAACAGTGAGTCATGTTGTGATAGCATAAGAAATAGAAATTACCAAAATGCTCTCTTTTGAAGGCAGAGACAAGATTTCCCCCTAATATCCCCTGCCGGGACATTCAACCTTTCAAGCCCCTTTTGAGCCCAAATATTCAGCTTCAATTTGACATGTGGACTGATCCAAAAGACATTTTTATGGTCGCCCAAAATGGCAAATAGCAGCTTTATTTATGTAGTGGCCAAAAGAAGAGGGGAAGGTAGAAGAATTTACCATTTTCAGGAGAGGTAACAGAGGTTGCCTGCAAACAGAAGCTCAGGATTGGACAATATGCTTTTCAAAATTCCAGAGACAGGATGATAATGTGAGTCACACATACTGAAGGTCCATGAGAAATCTTTGGTGTAATGAAAAAAATAATGTAATAGTCATTGCTTCTCCTCTGGGAACTGCGAGAAGTGTCAGCATTTTCACCAAGCTACTGTTGGTTATTAATCAACAGCACCTTCACCATGCTACAATTTCCAGGAATCGTTGCAGGAAACAGTGGTTGTTTTGTTTGTGTGTGTGTGTGTGTGTGATTGCAGGAAACAGTGGTTGTTGTTGTTGTGTGTGTGTGTGTGTTTTTTGTTTTTTGTTTTGCTATGAAACCAGTACGTGTTTGTAACACAGACAAACACAGGATTGGCCACTTGCACAGCACCAAAAGGGAGGACATGTGCCACCCAGAAGAAGGGCAAAAAAAAGACATCAATCTACACAAAAATGGTATATGCTATATTACATGTACAGGTGCAGAAATAGAAGTGATTAGTACTTTAAAAAGAGGTATAATATATCTTACCTGAACAAGGAAGACATTGTCAAGGTCCCTTGAGTCTGCTGGCCAGATGCCAGCTCTGGATGAGCAAATTCAAGGTTGATTTCTTTCTTTGTGACTAGAAACAGACAACTCTTTCAAATAGAGCAGTAGTTTCCTGCCTTGGGTCCCCAGATGTTCTTGGACTACATCTCCCAGAAATCCTGGCCAGCATAGTTAGTGATGAAGACTTCTGGGAATTTTAGTTCAAGAACCTCTGGGGACCCAAGGTCGGGAACACTGAAATAGAGGACTGCCTTTCCCTTAAGGAGGACGTGTAGCCATCCTGATGAACATTGGAGTGAAAACTCCTAAAAGAGGTGGAAATTACTTTAAAGTGCTCTACTCTTATTAGCACAGCTGCCTGCTGTTTGCCATTCCCTGCCCCTGAAGTGCTCTGGAATGACAGCATTTTTATGATGCAGAATTGTTCTGAGGAAATATTTAGGGGAAGGGAGAATGACAGCCACCATTGAAGTGTACAGTTTTTGCCCATCTTGGACTAATGCGGTGTCACAACATAGCATCATTTTGAGGTGGGTTGGCGAATACAAATCAGCAGCCAGAGAATCCAGTTCATTTTGCTCCGGTCACCTCGAATTGCTCCTATCTCCAAAATCTATGAATCCCCCCCCTTCCCAGCTTGCCATCAGAGCTACAATATTTGAGATCCATTTTGGTGTTGATGTAGTTATTCCCTAACTGCTCTTCCCCACCCCCATTTCCAGTCTAAATTGGCTAAACGGTGATTATAACAGTTTAATTGTTGTAGTCTTAACCTCTTTTTATTGGTTAAGACTACATAAAGGTTAAGATATTTCCTCTTCTGTAAATACTGTATCTTAACCTTTCTGCAGAGTTCGTCAGTTTACATTTTTAAAAGTAATTCATTGTTTAAATTGCTACATCATCCCCCCAAAATATAGCTTGTTCTTGTAAACACTTGCACACTGTTTTGCCATTAATTTGGAGGGGATTAGTGATAGCTCAGAATGTGGCGTTGGAAAATGTACCCAAAATGCTTTAAAGAATAGCTGAATAGCCTTTGAAGATTAATTGGAAGGTGTCCCTGTGACATTTTCCCTTCATTGACTTATTTTTAAAATGTAACCTTATTACATCCTGTTACAAAAAAAAGTAATGCTTTTTGACAGGTAAATGTACAGTATTACTTGTAACTCATTACTTCAAGTTCTGCTTTTTTTCAGAACAGGTGAAGATCTGGTTCTAATATCTGTAATGGCAGTTATTTTGGGGTGTGGTGTTATCTCAGGGCTTTATTAAAGGAATACTTATTCCATATCTAGAAGCAATGTACCCTCAAGATGAAAAAACTGTCTGTTTTTCCCTAATCTGCATTTGGAAAATCAGTTTATTTATGCTTTCCGCCTGCTCTGTTGGTAGATAGTATGGCTTTATTGGTGTATCTGGTGTTTGTAGCTGTAAAAGATAGTAAACCTTGAGGGGTAACATTGCAAGAGGAGAAAATATATATTTGTCTTAATGTATGATTTCACCCATAGCCTAAGAAGCAAAATTAGAACACCCCTTTATCGTGTACCGGAACTCTTGTATCCAATTATTTGCACCTGTGCTGTTGCCTCAGAATCCAGAATCTTTTAGCTCCTGTTGTGCATCTAATGATTTGTTTTCATTTTTCTGTTTTAGGAAAAAGGCATGTGAATCTCACAGCAACTGGAAAGTTGATGGTGCTCAGTTTTAGAGAAGATATGTCTGGATCTTATACTTGCACCCTTACATACAAAGTTTTCCAAAATGACATGGAATCAGAAGAAGAAATGTATAGGACATATAAATTTATGGTTTATGGTAAGAAAAACAAATCCTGTCTGAACCCACCACATTATGCCACCTGTAGCATCCAGCTCCACCATGCATAATTGCTAGCCTCACATGACTGGATCAAGTGAATTTATGCCTCAAACCCAAATCCAAAACTTAACGTACAAAATATACGTGGATATTCATAAATGAGCAATCTCCTAATGATCCTACTTCCTTGCCCAGTGTCCTGAACAAATTTATATTTTAGATTTTTAAAAACATTTTTGGTGCTGTGTGCATCTGAAAAACATAGGACATTAACAGAAACCATAGACATGTGAAGAGAGTGAAGAGATGTTTCCCAAACTTTGGGGTAGACCATAATCCCCATCCTGGTCCACAAACTAGCCCTGATAGGTTCTATACAGAGCTTGGGTCACTTTTTAAAAAGTAATTCATCCCCATTACTAATTGCCCTAAATCCTGTTGCTTAGTCTAGTAACTCATACTAGAGTAGGCCTGTTGAATCAGTGGGGATTATTTTAATAAAGTAAATTGTACTTAGAGCAGGCCCATTTGAATCAATGGAACTTTATAGAGATGTTGACTCACGAAACCCAGTGATTCAGCCACTGAGTTTTTAAAAGAGTGGTCTCTTACTGTTACTCATTACAATGTTTAAATTTGGTTATAATAGAGTTCAGAACTCCCATATGTCTGCATCAAGATCAAAAGACACTGCATGGGTCACAAACCACATTTTGGTCAGTAATACTGACTAGGGCCTGAAGATGCTTTTATAAAACTGAGGGAGCAGGGCTTAAGTCTTTTTTCACATGTTTAACTTCTGAATGTTCTTTGTGATTTATAAACTTATAAATATGATTAGTAATAACAACAAATAATAGTGCATGCTATTTAGATTCACACAGACATTACACACCCTTTTCTCTTCTCTTTCAAAGCATATCGGGAACCAGACTACACTTTTCGAATGTCTGTTCACTTTTCAACAATACAGTGCAGCCTAGCAGCAAATGAACAATTCTTTGAAGAGCTGAAGAAAATCTTGAACAATCTAATTTCCTACCTGACGTGCCACATTACTGACCCATCGTACAAGTGTTACTCCGTCAAGCAACCAAACCGTGGGCTGGTAGATGAGCTATTTATTCTATTTCAAGGTAATAGAATGGGGGCAGCTCCCCTCTTGACCTTTCCTTATTAGAAGTGTTGCAGTCCTCGTGGAACTGGATTGTGTTTAAAGGTCCCATAGCTGTGCCTCTGTGCTGTCAGTGCCTTGCTTACTGATGATACAACTACATCAAAATCACAGCCTTCTTCAGATAATTGAAGTCTATGTGACCGATACGTCAAAGTAACCACTGAGTACTTGGTTTCTGAAATAGGAAATGTGAGGACTGTAGACCAGCAGAAAGATCTGTATTCTGACCCCTGTCCGGTATATGTGAAGTGTTTTGTGGTTATTCAGTGGTGAACTTTATACGGCTATATGGCCAGAGAATAATTTTACATTAATCCATGCTGCAGAATTCACTGCTGTGCATAGAAGTTCCATGGCAGTGATGTCTGGGGAAAGTGTTCTCTCAAAAGCAAAGGCCTTTGGTTGCTGTCCATGGTACCTGGTTATAAATGGATCTACAGTAGATTGTCCTTTTCTGTGGCTAGATTTCCCCTTCACTTTAAAAGGTTCAAATACTTTTTCTCTCCTTGCTGGCCTAAAGATGGAGCTGCAAGACAAGTTATGTGTTGCTTGCTGTTTTGTTAGTAATATCCCTGCACTAGGCAGATTTGATAGAGAATAAAGCCTTAATGGCTACAATCCTGAAAATACTTACTTTGATGTAAGCCCAATTCCAATCCACAGGATTTAATTGTGTGTAAACAAAGTCTGTTTTTCACCCCCTACATAAATTTTTTTAACCAAACTCCAGGAGGCAGTGGAAGACAGGAGGGCTCTGGTCCATGGGGTCACAAAGAATCGGACACGACTTAACGACTAAACAACAACAACAAACAAAGTTATGGATCATAAGCAAAAAAAATATAAATCCAGCATTAATTCTTTGGTGATTCTATAATAATCTTAGACATAGCAGAGAAGTGCATTTTCATCTGCAAATACTTGGTTTTTTTCATGTCTTAGTGAACCCGTTTGCCCCTGGTTGGGATGTTATGTGCCACCACTCTACCCCTGACTGTGAAGATGTGACCAACAACCATATTCAAAAGGTCAGATTTTTTTTCCAAACTTACCTCTAAATATTTGCACATTCTGAAATGCTTTTTTTCAGATTGAGGAAAATATACACACTCAAAGCAACTTACAAAATATAAAATATATTTCCTGACTCCAGGTAATATACCATTCCAAACAGACTACGAATCATCTTTTCTTGCAGTGTTACTATACAGGTCTTGGGGTGGGCGTGGGGGATAGGTAAGTTATTCCTCTCCTTGACAGCAAATCCCTGCATCTATGCTCCTACTACATTTATAATATTTTCCAATGTTACAGCGTGTGCATGCATTCATGGACAATATTACACAGAAGTATGGCTGCCGTGAGGATCTACTGATGGGTTGGTGGATCAAACTGACAGATGCAGTAAGACCAGATGTCAGAGAGTAAAGAACATCTGTTCCTTTAATCCAGTGGTTCCCAGTTTTGGGTCCCTAGATGTTCTTGGACTAAAACTTCCAGAAGCATTCAGCATAAGCTGTGCTGGCCAGGATTTCTGGAAGTTGTAATCCAAGAACATCTAGAGACTCAAGGTCAGGAGCCACTGCTGAATCATTGTTTTAAAAAGTGGGATTTACTAGAGTGGGATTTCCACAGACCTATTGCCTGATGTCATACACGGTAAAGGTGAAAAGGCCTCCTGCTTGGGCAGCATTGACAAGTACTAAGAGAGGGAGGAAGCCGCTTAAATTGTATACAGAAATGCAGCCCTTAAACAGTACAGCAGCCTTTTGCAAATACTTTCAAACATACGCATACAAACAACCTTTTATGGGAACCAGAAAAAAGTGCTAGAAGATATATTGAAAACGTGAAGGGTAAAACTCATCCTAAGCACATATTTAAATATGGTGTGAGAGAGGGTGTAGGCAAAACTTTGATATAGCTAATCAAAATGGAAATGGTTATCTTTCTGACTTTATTGTCTGTTTTAGGCTCGAGTGCTTATTGAAGAGTTTTTCCGCAGCCAGGTAACCATCCTAAGGCATGAGTTCCAGAACATGCCAGCAATCCATTACAAAGAACATAGCTTCCAAGTCACTCGTCTAGACAACTGTTGGCCAGGATTTGGGAAAAATGACATCACCCATAGCGACTGCTCAAACTGCTGTGGTATTTATGTATTTCTTTATTTCCTTCACCATACGGCATCCTCCAAGGTGATGAGGGAGGCATACTTTTTATGTTCCCCATTTATATTCCCGACAACTCTGTGAAGTAGGTGAGACTAAGCGTTAGTGATAGATTTATTTATTTATTTTATTTATTTATTTGATTTATATAGATCGCAGCAATCCTTACTTGCTTGGCTTGTTCATTTAAATCAAAGTGTGTAAGGACAGGCATTTATCAATGTAAGGACAGGCATTTTCTCTGTCTCCTCTCTTTAAAGCAGAATTTTATACAGAGAGTAAGCACCCCATTTGTCATTCAGAATTCAGTATTTTAAATACTGCCAAAAATTTCCATAGCTGCTCAGTGGAAATGTTCTAAAGAACTAACTACATTAATGGTGAAGGAAGATAGTAGTTTTCATCTCTTTGCTGTTCTGGGGCATTGGGAATTTCCTTGGAGGCTTACTGGGAGGTCTCAAATGACAGGGACGTTTCCCATAAAGACAACTGTTTAAGGGAAATACCAATTTTGTTTTCTCATGGGCAGAGCTTGGAGATGTTACTTTTTTACAAAGAGCTCCCAGAACACCTCGGGCAGTGGGGCTACTGACCATGCTGGCTGAAGGGTTCTGGGAGTTGCTGTCAAAGAAAGTAACTCATCCAGCTTCTAGTCATGGGAGTACCGTGGGTGTTCTTTATAGAAATTCTCAACCATTGCAATGTTGCAATTGCAATGTTGCATTTATGCCGTTGGCAGGATTTTTTTGGGGGGGGGAGGGTTCCTTAATTTCTCCCACCTTATAGCATTTGTTTTTCCATTTGGTTGCAGTGGCCTGTGATCCCGGAACCTACAGCCCAAACAATGAGGTGGTTTGCCGTAAATGCACAAACATTCGGATTATACACTATGGAGCAAAATCTTGCTAAATAAAATCAAAATAAAAACATTGATTGGCAGCTACAAAAAGGAACTTGTTATTTCACTGCTTCCCCCCTCCAGCCCTGGAGCCATGCTAGACTTGTCTTAAACACATGACTAACACTGAAAGGTGTAGCCATCCATTTAGCTCAACTTCTTCACCTATAGTTCAGCTCTTCTGTTCTCTGAATCCTTATTTTTGTGTGCTCTGTCTCTACTCTGTATTACTCGTTGGTGATAACATGGGGTGTAGAAACATAGAATATAATGAGAACATAACATGGCAACATTCTGTTAGCTGCTATGAAAGTAAACGTGGAATTAACCTTAGAGCTGCAGAGCTGGAAGGGACCCGATGGATCATCAACTCCACCCCCTGTCAAGGAAGCACAGTGGGGACCTGAACTCCCAACCTCTGGTTTAGCCAAAGACCTAATGGCACGTCCAGATGTGGGGGAAGTTGGAATGGTCTGGTTCACACTTAAAAGGCTCTTATCTTTAGTGCAATCTATTTTAGCTCACAATTAATCGTATTCACACTGGAGATGTTTCTTTTCCCATGAGAAGGGTCCATACAGGTCAATGGATTGCTTCAATTTGTCCCCCTTTCTATGGATGACACTCCCTTCCCTGCCCTGCCTTTTGTTTCCTGCTGATTGTGCTGGAATTTAAATTTTTTCTCCCAATGAGTCATCACTCCATCAGATACATACCAGTGATGAAGGGCACCTCCAGTATATCTAGAATAGTGCTGTGTCAGTTGAGGGTGGGGAATTAGAGAATATGAAAATAGAGGAAGGGGTCCCTCCATCATCCTTTTAAATGTCACAACCGAACTTCATACCTCACAGGCTTGGCAACACAGAGAGATCCACTCGCAATTGTCTTGGGAATAGATTAACCATCTGCATGGGCTACAGAATGGGATAATCAAGAGCACTCCAAATTACATCAAATAGACGGCAGCTCTAGTGCTGAGCCAGAAAGGAGTGTGACCGCTTTTAAAAGGGGCAAAATGGATCACTCTTATTCTTATGTGGTTGCCATAATTTAATTCAAACCAAACTGCAACAAAGGTGACCCAAATGACGAGCTATATGCCTGTCTGAATTCCTTCTAAATCTACTTAGAACTTGGAAAATTATTTTTTTAAAAAAAATTTAATAATATGTTAAAAGCCAACTATAACGGAGCAGTTGTAGGATGATGTTGTCGGTCCCATATCATCTGTTTTTTTAGCTGATAGCTGTCCTGAACCCCAGAATATAGATCTTTTATGTATCACACAGGTTACATCTCCTTTTGTAGCTCTTTAATATTGCTAGATGTCCTGTGGCTTGATAACTGTAGGATAACAGACTCACAAACAGTGAAAATGTGTGCCTCAGGTGGGGAGTCGGAGGGGCCACAGGCACTAAGGAACACTTGGATGGCTTCCATAGGAAATCCTGGCATTTAGAGAAACAGAACACCAGCCATAGGCTTTAACTCAGAGGAACTGGGTGATGTTTGGGCCCTTCTCACTGTCTGACTGGGAGAGTTCTGCCAAGAACATTTTGTACCTTGCCTGCAGTCCGAACATCTAACCAGCTTTCCTGAGAGGTTGGTGAACAAGGAATTGCTAGTTGACATTTCCCTTTCCTCTTCCCCACATGGTTTTCTCCTCCTTTCGTGTTGCTCATATTGCCTAGAACAGCAGTCCCCAGCCTTGGGTCTCCAAATGTTCTTGGACTAAAACTCCCAGAAGCCTTCACCACAGGCTGTGCTGGCCAGGATTTCTGGGAGTTGTAGTCCAAGAACATGTCAGGACCCAAAGTTGGGAACCACTGGCCTAGAATCCCCCCTCTACCTTATAAGGTAAAAGTAAATGTTCCCCTTGACATTTAGTCCAGTCTTTAGTGTCTGACTCTAGGGGGCAGTGCTCATCCCGGTTCAAGCCATAGAGCCAGCGTTTGTCCACAGACAGTTTCCGTGGTCACGTGGCCAGCACAACTAGACACAGAACGCCGTTACCTTCCCACTGTGGTGGTACCTATTTATCTACTTGCATTTTTAAATGCTTTTGAACTGCTACGTTGGCTGGAGCTGCGACAAGCGACAGAAGCTCACTCCGTCGCGTGGATTTGATCTTACAACTGCTGTTCTCCTGAACTTGCAGCACAGAGGCTTCTGCAGTTTAACCCACGGTGCCAACACGTCCCTCCACCCCAAAGCAGTGACTAGGAAGCAATCAAGAATCTATGAAGAAAAGCAATGAAATGTAACTCACGATACCAATGACAACACTTTTCAGACACTTCTCAGTACCTCAGAAGAACACATTTAGTTGCATTAAACACTTGAACTCTGGTGTGGGAGAGCAGTTCTGCCGGACTGTTCTTCCTGTAGAATTTGTGCATTTACAATTCCACACCCACCCCACTGATGGCAAGGGGAAGCAAACTAGCGACAGCAACTTCAGGGCTGGTATTGTTGAGAGACTGATCATTCTCCATCTACCTGAGAGAAGACAGAAGCTTTGGATCCAGGATGTAAATCCATGTAATGCCCATTCTGGGGCTTTCTGCCTACGTCCACGGGTAAGAAAAGCAGATGCCAGGCGTAGCTTTCCATCTGCCTGGGTGCAATGGAGCCTTCTGCTGCAGTGCAACCTCCTATCATCACCACCATCTGTCCTGGTGGAGAAACACCAGGTGCCCCTTTTAACCCTTTCCAGCCATTAACATGGAGGGAATGGGGTTTGCTGTCTAAATAATGTTGCTCGCAAGTGACAAAAATACGAGTTAGAAACGTCATGGCACCTTAAAGACTAACTGCTATATTTTAACATGAGCTTTCATGGATCAAGTCCACTTCCCCAGACAATTTGCTCAGAAGTGGCTTTCTCCCCTGTTATATCCTGCAGTCCTCCCACTCGTATCCACTGGGTTTTCCCTCCCCAGATGCCGATGGTTTTGTTTGTTTGTTCAGTACAAGGGGACAGAAAAACACTAAAATTACAAGGAAGGGGGAGAGAGAAAGCCCAAACTGAGACAGCTCTTAGAGTTTACAGTCAGGATGAGTGACGTTTAAACAAAGCGCAAAGCAGACAGGCCACAACACAACAGATGCATCTTAATTACAGAGAAGATCGTCAATAAAACTGCAGAAGCAAGGAAGTAGTGCTGTACACCCTTCCCATGTTCTTGCCTGGCCACGGATAGAAGTGAGGAACAAGGTGGGTTTTTATTTGTTTGTTTGCTGTACGATCATCAAATCTGGAGCAGAGGAACTACAGATCAGAAAGCACAGGAGAGAAGTGCTGGCTGAACCTCCTCCACAGAACATTTTGAAAAAGGGCAGACAAAATACCTGATAAATCAGTTTCACTTTCCTACTGTATCTCGACCATCTGGGTCTGAAAGTCTCCTTGTGAGGATTTTTAAAATTATCTTTTGAATGCAAAAACCTTGCCTGTACCAGCATGAATTTCAGTTCCCTTTTTATATTCTTGACCAGCACTCTCTGCATGGAAAATACGTAAAGGCCATTTCCAGCACGGTATTATGATTAATGAATTGCCTTCTGTGCTCAATAATGAGTATACTGCGTATTCAGGCACATAAATCTGCAGGCAGAATCAGTTGCACGTTGGAGACTGAGCCGAGACAGCCGTGCAAAAAGGAGGAGAGTTAGGCATAGAAGTCTGCAGGCAGGCTGACTAACTGATGGAGCAGAAATATCAAGGTCACATAGGCATGATCAGCAGTTCCATCTGCTATTCCTTGTGCTGCAGGAAGTGAGGTTAGGTTATACTTGGAAGGGCAATGCAATACTGCCCCCTTTCCCCTAATTTTCTGGCAAATTTTGCTAGACCAGAAGCATCAGCATCCTAAGAGGTGAAATGATCATGGTTTCCACGTCAGGAGAAAGAGCCAGCTGAGGGTTAGAGGTAAGTGGCATGGGCTAAGAACATGGATGAGGGGCATGTGGCCCTCTAGATATTGTTGAACACCATTGGTTGCAGTAGCTGATGCTGATGGTAGTTGTAACCAAGAACATCTTGGAGGCCATTTCATACCCTCAGGTCCCTCCTAAGGAATGGAGCATATTAGAAGCGCCTGAGGCAAGCAGTGTAGCCTGGGACATATAACAGTCTAAAGAATGGAGTTCACATGAGGGTGGAGAGCAAGTACTTGTTTTGGCCAGATCTTCTTACAAGGAGTCCAGTTGTTGAGGGTGAAGGACTGGCCTCCAGGAAAGAGTTTACAGAGCAGGCTATACATTGGCTGATGAGATCATCTGACCTGAAGTGGAGTTTGCATGGTGCCAAAGAGTGACCGGGGTGAGCCAGTTCAGCCCACACCATCTTCAGCAGGCCAGTTCTCATGGTGTAGAAGATACTGGTAGAATCTACCTGATGTTGGAGACCACTGTAGTCATTAGTGACCCACAATATATACTTGTCTTGAGCCCTGGCTGCTCTTGACTAAGAAACTCTTGGTTTATTCCAAACTTTAGGGCAATGGCAATACTTCTTGCAATGTGACTTAGCCCCAGAAGGCAGGCAAGAATACTCAAGTAGGAGTCAGGCAAGCGCTAGGAATGAGGCAGGTGAAGATGGGCATCCAGTCATTAAAGCTACTTCGCACACATGTCCTCCCTCTCTATTATTCACACTGAGATTTGTTTCTGTGAGATTTGAGCTGGTTCTCTGAGACCTGGCGCTCTTCAGCCCCTTCTACATACCAGCCACAGCTCTACTTGCCAGTTTTCAGTTACCAAACGTAGTGATCAATACAATTTGAGATAAGTTATGATGAAAAGAAAACCTTTATTTATTATTCTCGACCTCCCCAAAAATACCAATGCAGGCCAACCTTACAGAAATCAAAATTTTATTTCCTTAAAATATCTCAAGGTAAATAACTGTGGTTTGGTGTCATGTAATAATACTAAAAGAACCCATCAAATATGGCTTGAAGAACATTGCCTGCTCTATTTACATAAATTATTTATAAATTTATAAATTAATAAAACTATGAAATTAGCAAATTACTTTACAATCTAAAGATGATGTTCACAATTAATGTTCACAGTGTTGACTGGTTCATCTTACTTCCAGTAATCCAATAACATATATACACAAGTGTCTGAACATGCAAGATGCTCAAGTCAGGGGACGTTGTTAACTCAACCCTTGCCCTATCCCATCTTCAACCTTTGGGAAGACTTGTATGGAATCTCCACACCTCTCCGCCCTACCACACTTTTCAGTAGTAGAAAGTCACACATATGATCTTGCTGGCATGCTAAGCATCCAAACTGTCATTTTGTTCTAGCTCACATCACTGCAAAGATAAGCTTGAAAACATGATGGAGGAATCAAGAGAAATACAGAAAAAGAGCCATATACCCATGATAGTACTTCAATTATTGTTTTCCCCCGCCCTTGGGCTTTCTCCTATGCATTCCTCAGTACAGATTCAAAATGTTCTCTCCTGAAAACTCTCAGGATAAAAATATTGTAAAATTAACTGCTACCTGTTGAAAAATAGTAGTTTTGCACCCATACAGGCAAACTATGGTAGCAGGATGCAACTGGATTAGTGATTATGACATTCTGGTGCTATAGGATTATTCATTACCCAATAGGTTAATTCCTTTTACTTTGTGCAATAAAGTTACTGTTTGGGTAGAAAATGTGATACCCTGCTAACAATCACAATAACACAGGATTTGGGATACCATTAAGCCCTGGAAGTTCAAGGAGATGATTTTTCTCTTTTACAATTCCGTTGAGCAATGCAGAGCTTAGAGTGGAAAGGGTCAAACCTGAACAAATATCTGTACTAGGGTCAATGGTAAGGAAAAAACCAAAAACAAACTATTTTTCAATATGATGAAAAAATAATATATTTTACATCCATTCTCACTGGAGAAGCCAAGTTGTATTATCTACCCCCCAACACAATTGCCTGTTAAAGTCCGCAGCAACCTCTGCATTTGAATGATGATGATACATGCAGCCCTTCTAGCAATTGGTACAGTTTTGTCCATAACTATTTCCTGCAAAAATTCTTCACAAGATTATTGTAGAATTCAACTTGACATCTAGGCCTGACATCTGGACTAAGTAGATGACGCTCCCAAAGATAAAGTAGAAGATGGCAAACATGATCAATTAGGAGGCAACAAGGAGGTAAACTGTTTTGAAGTTTCTCAGTGTCTACCATGAAGAACAAACCATTTCCTGCTTCCAGTGGTCTTCTGATCACTCCATTCCTTTAACGGGGAAGGAGGAAGCAACTTTGAATCAAAATGGGTCCAAGAGGTTAGATACGGTAAGCACCATACTGGATTTTACAGTTTAATCCACAGTCCAGCAGGAAAAAGTGTCATCTTTTGGGAATCTGTTTTGCTTCCTCCTTTATCCTCTTAGGATCTGTAGAGCATACAAGCTGGAGTACAGAGCTCCCAGTTCTGAATGTGCCTTATTGTTCCACAGGCAAGTAGCAGAGACTTTCCCAACTTCTAAATCCAGCTCACACATCTGCAGCATCTCAGCAGCAAGGCCAGCTTCTTCATCCGTCATGGATTGGAATGAGATAGTGAAAACACTGCCTTCATCACCAGAGAGAATCCACTTCAGAACACTATCCATCTTGAAACATTGAAAGAGAAAATGAATGAGGAAGAGAGCACAAAGCAAGCAGTTTTTCACACCTCTAAACTCACGACACATGAGGAGAGGCAGGGAAATAAGTCTGTTTTAGTCCTTCCTTCCTGCATGCAAGTATTTTAAACTGCAGGTTATATCTGCCCCAAATACAACAATCTCCATTTGCACCAAGCAAATTCAATATGTACAACAATTCCTAGCATAGAAAGGACTCATATCTGCCTGCTATATAGCTGTTAAAGATGAGGAGCCTCTCAGAGAAGAGGAAAAAAGAAGTAGTGATAGGCCTGATTCAGAACTATTCCAATGTCTGAATATATAGAGATTCAAAGCCAGACCTTAGAGATCTTAAGCACTCAAAGCCCTACTCAGAATGAAGAGGCTTAAGCATGTATATCTAGAGACTGCTACTCGTTTATCATTACATGTCCTCTTATGGGAGTGGGCATGGCTATACTCTCCTCATTTGCTCATTGAACATATATTGATGGGCTCTCTGAAGAAACCTTCAATTATTTCCATAACTTTTAAAAATCCTGGTCTTCTGATACATTCATGCAGGCAGGGCCGGATCACACACCTCTCTCTTTTTATCAGGGGACAAGTTACATTCCTCAACCTTTGATGACTTTCCCATTCAAGACACCCAAGAAAATTCTCCCAAATATTCCTTGAACATTAATTTCCACTGAGGAAACACCAGCTCACTGTCCTGAGTCATGAAGATAACAAACAAGGGGCTGGACAATAGCCGTAATAATACTGTACATTAAAAATCGGAAGAGAAAAGTTTTCTACAACACAGGAGTTAAGCCCGAAGGGCCTCACCATCTCTAGCTGTTTGGCCATGTTATTCTTCTCCACAATGGCCTCCAACAAGGGCAGCATCTCATAGTCCAAGTCTGTGAATACAAATTCCCAGCAATAAGAATGAGTATGATGAAGGAGAAAATATTGTCACTCCAAATCTGATTCAGAGACAGGCACTGATTCAGTTCATCCTGTGCCCTTTATTTTCAGAAACACTGCTGACAGGTGGAGCATCACCTTCCACATGGGACTTGGTAGGTGCAGGTTCAAATGAACTTGAAACCCAGCTACATTGGTATAGGTATTTTGATTTAAACATTCAGCTGCCAAAGCAGCAGAAAGATTTTTGGGCTGGTTAAGTCCTACAAACTCTTTCAACAGAGCTTGGGAACATATGATCCTCCAAATGTCGTGGGTCTCCAGTTTCCATCAGGCCTAAGCAACCTGATCAGCATTTGTAGTTCACCAACATCTGGATAAACACTTCCCCACCTTTCATCATGTAGTGAAATGTTGGTGCCAATGGGGCTTTCAATGGCATTGGATGGGTTACATACTCTGAGAGCCAGGTGCCCCTATATTCATGGCTATGAAGAACACATGAGTCACAGTGGAGGCAATCTGTATGGAGGATGCTATTGCTCATTGTGCTTCTCTGGTACTCGTACATCATTACTATTTTGCCTCCTGCTGAATGTATTCACGTGTCAATTTTCTCCTTTTCAACCTCTCTGTTTGCAACACAGGAATAATGCTACACATTACTTTGTAGGGAATTTTGGGTGACAAATAAGGCAGAGAATTGTACTGCAGTCTGAAGACCAGCTGCATTCCTCAGCTTTGACCACGTGCCCTACCATGCACTTGATTTCTTCCGACTCAGTCTCTACTAGAGACTAAGAAGTTTATCTTGATTGCTAGAGGACAGTCCTCCATCTGAAAGTGTTGTGTGTTTGGGAGCCTGTCTGCTCCACATCTGATTTGAAGATCAGAAATTGTCCAAAAGGAGAGAAGCCATGGCCTTGAAGCTACCTATCAAGAACCAGTACTCGGCCAACAGGCTGAGTAGCCACAATGGATTACCTGGTCACGGTTTCCCTATTCCCTGTGTCTTGAGTAAATAAAATAATGATGTGCTGTCAAGTCAATTTTGACTTATGGGGACCCTTTTCAGATTTTTCCAGGTAGATAATATACCGAAGTGGTTTACTACCCTTTTTCCGGGGGTGCCCTGCATCTGTGCAGCTTGCCCAAAGTCACATAGGCTGGCCCTTCTGGGATGCACAGGGGGGAACTGAACTCCCAAGACAGATAACTAATCCACTGAGCTATCCAACCAGCTCTGCCATGAGTAGTTACGTATATTATATATTTTTAAAATTATTATAACCATTATTTCGAAATTTGTACCTTCATATGTAAATTTACAGTATCCAAATCTGTGCCCTCCTTTTTTTTCTTTTTGGTGGGGGAGATATATAAGTACATTTAACTATTCCTTGGAAAGGTCAGGGTCAATTCCCAGAGCCTAATTTATCTGCATACCCACACCCAGAGGTACATATTGCTGCTGCCATGGGAAAGAAAGGGGACATACTGGAACAGAGCTGATAGTGCTGTCCACCTACCATCTATAGAAGAGCAAAAGAAGTGGATTGGTCTCCACAGATCTTGGATTTCTCCTTTCTCAGTGTCTTTGAAAATCCCCAGATGTGACAGAAACTTTTCCACTTTAGGTCGGAGTTCTTCATTCAATGGCTCCAATACAGAGCGATCAACATCATCTCCCACCATAGAAAGTTCCAGCTGATGAGGAAAAAAATCAACAAGAGTGAAAGAGACATTTGCCACAAATAAAAATAACCAAATATTTTAAATATATCTTTCTCCTAGTGTTGGGAACAATATACCCTGTTAGGTATCAATAAAGGGCTTCTAGGAAGGTAAACAGGATGGCTAGATTCCCTTCTTCTGGGGGCATCCTGGGACTGTGCAGCTTGCCCAAGGACACACAGGCTGGCGACTGTCCCTGTAGGCACAGTGGGGAATCGAACTCCCAACCTCTAGCTCTGCAGCCAGATACTTAAACCTCTGAGCCATCCAGCCATGCGTACAAACAGGACAGCATTTTTGCTTTTGGTTTAATATGAGGAAGCACTGAAAAATGATATCTTCCTCTGCAGAGCTATTCGGCCATCTCAGGGCTTACTACTCCATTTTAATCTCGGAATCATGAAAGGGATGATGATGGCAATGAATATAAGGACAGGACTAGTCTTAAGAAAGAAGGAGAAACAAGGGCTGGAACTATACCTTCACAATAATCCAGAGAAAATATATCTACTGGGAGTCAGTAAATACTGCTGTAAACAGGCACAATATTGCTTGTAACACGCACCAAAGTTGCAGCCCTTTTTTCTTTGTTCTAATCTGTTGTGGGTGAGTGTGCACACTGCCACGTCAGGGGCTGGGCATGACATTGCATGACGTGAACAACATGCCCTGCTCCTGCATCCTCTTTTTAATTATTTTTAAAAAATAATTTTAAAATATATAAATAATAAAATAATAAATAAAATATATACCGTAAATAATAAAATAAAATAATAACTGTTTGTGTGCCTCTTTGGATGTGCAATTTAATTACACAGTTTTTAAAAAGCAAAATTGCACATCCGCACATGCAAACAGAGGTGCAAAGGAGAAAAAAAATTGAAGGTATGGCAGCAGTCCAGGGAGAGCACAATGTTGGTAGGTAAGGACAGGTGGGAAAGGGGTGGGCAGACAACTGGTGGGGGGGAAAGGAACCACCCAAGACTTCTGTGCTTTAAAAAAAATAATGGGCACCTTTTTAAACCTCAGCAGGGCATAACCAGTGTGATATGACAGGATTCCCTGCAGATTCAATCCAGTTTTTCCTGACAGTCTAGTTCCAACCAAAGAAAGAGCAAGGCAGAGGTATATGGACACAGGCCATCACATGCAGCCAAAAAGCTTCCAGGAGGGGCTGTTGAGCTACTTAGGTTTGTGGGGCAGAAGAGGACATACATACCACTGACTGAACAGTGGAGGCAACATCACTATCTTCCAGGAAAATCCTGAAGGATTTCAGAAGATGCCTCTTCAAAGGCTGGCTCAGGCGCATGAGGGGCTCATACGCCTCTTTAACAACATCTTTCACCTTCTGGATAGCTAAAAGGAGTTGGGTATGAGATTATTAGCCTCAGCATTTCAATAGCATTTGCAGAGCACACTTCATAAACTTTTCATACAGGGGTGATGATGATCAGCTAAACTCCACAGTCAGGACAATCCCCTGATGCAGCTCTTGACGAAGTCCATGCACATTGGTGGGAAATTGCAGTATGGTATGTTTTCCTGTACAAATCCTTCCTTCCACTTCACAGCAGTGGGAAGACTGGCCAGCCACAGGGATTTGGGGAGTTAATGGTTGTTGCGGGGTTTTTTGGGCTCTTCAGAGGACACCATGCCAGCCACAGAGACTGGCGAAACGTTAGGAAGAACAACCTTCAGAACACGGCCAAAGAGCCTGAAAACCCCACAACAACCATTAGATCCCGGCCGTGAAAGCCTTCGCAAATACATTTGGGGAGTTGTTGCCCCCTAAACTGAATTTCTTCAAGCTCTGCATTATCTGATGTCATGGCCCACTGGATAAGTCCTCGAGTGTTAATGAGCTGGAACCCTCTGAATCTGAGAAAAAGGATAAAATGCTCGGTCCCGTAGACTCTGAACCCTCAAGATCACAGGAAGTTGACCCCCTCAGGAGGATAAAGCTCTGAGCCTGAGCCTGAGGAAGAGGCTGGACCATGTCCCAGCCCACAAGGAGATCACTGGATAAAGACATAGTTCCAATGACAACTCCTCAGACAACGTGCCCGGCTACAGGGGGAAACTCCTCAGGAAAAAAAGCATCCTCAGGAATAAGGGTCTCCTTGAGGAGAAGCTCTTTTTCCCAGGGAGCCAAAATTGGCAACTGAGATCCTTCACCAGCTGCCAAAGTACCTGCCACTAAGCTCTGGATGAGGCTCCAGTGGTTCAGGTATATAAACCGAAGGCTGGGACTGGGACTTTATGGGAGGCAACGTCACCTCTCGGTCCACATCCTGCCTGGCTTCTTGCTGACCTTGGACTCTTCTGAGAGTCTCCTTTTTGCTTCCTGATAACACTGACCTACCTGGGCTTTGGGCTGCTTATGAACTCTGGAGTCAGCTCTCCCCCCCAAAAAAACATGCCCACCCAATGCACTGGTAGGACTCTGCTTGTTAGAGCTCTGCCTGTTGTTACAGGTGCCCCCAGCCTACCTAGACTTTGCCCTGGGACCAGCTTGTTAAGGAGCAGGAGAACTGTTGATAGTTGGGCATGCATACACACACCACACAAGAGAATTATCTTGATAAAGCAAGCTTGCACATGGCCATGGGAGTGTGCTTGGTGTATGGTCACCTTGTGCTGGTGCATGAGTCTCTCTAGGCTGGGACTGCAGAAGTTGCTCAATAGTAAAGAGAGAGGTTGGGGGACATTTTATTCTAGTGGCCTTTTGGGCTGCAACTACTGGAATCCCCAATCTGCAAGAGATTCTGAATGTTATAGAAAATCCTCTGTCCTTGATCTATAGGGATCTTAGACAGCAGATGCAGCTGTTGGTAAGGTCAAAGCTTGTCTTATACTTGGGCTCCATTATGATGGTATGCTATTAATAAATAACTAGTCTTCTCAAGAACTCAACTCTGCCCGTCATGTATGCCTTTCTCTTTCCCTCTCAGAAAAAAAAGGAAGACCAAATACGTATGAGATGGATGGACTCTCTAAAAGAAGCCACAGGCTTGAGTTTGCAAGAGCAGAGCAGGACTGTTGAGGACAGCATATTTTGGAGATTGCTTATTCATATACAGTGGTGCCTCGCAAGACAAATGCCTCGCAGACAAAAAACTCGCAAGACAAATGGTTTTGGCAATGAGGCTGATGACTCGCAAGATGAATGTTCCTATCGCCGTGCTTCGCAAGAAGAATGTTTTCAAGTTTTTTGTTCCTGCCTTATGTTTGCTGATTTTTAAATGTTTTTCTATGATGTTTAAAAAGTTAGTTTTTTTATTGAAATTTTTAAGATCATCTGCACAATATGTATGGCTTTAAAGAGCACTTAATAAATCCTTTGTAAACCAAATTTGACGTTGTTCTGACTTTTTTTGCCCATTTCAATGCATTCCTATGGGAAAACGCATTTCGCAGGATAATTTTTTCGCAAGATGACATTAACTGTGTAACGAATTAAATTCATCTTGCAAGGCACCACTGTAAATGAATTGCTCATTCATTGCTTATTCACCATAAGTTGGAGGCAACAAGACACATAACAGCAACAGTCTTCTCAAAGCCCCTTTGTGAAATAAGCTTACTAGTAAGCTAGAGGTGGGAAAGCACTAGATGTAATATAAAATTAAAAATTAAAATAAAATTTTTGTTTTGTTTTGAGGAAGGGCTTGGGAGCCACAGGTTCCACAGTCGTGGTTTACAAGACCTGTTAAATGAAGAGACAGGCAAACATCTTGTAAACAGTGCAGATGAATCTATAAGCACCAAGTAGAGCAAATTCATGGGAAGGAGAAAATGTTCAGAAACTGTAGGAAGGCTGAACACATCCTAGCTGTGATAATCCTTCACGCTTTTTCTCTGCCTGTCTTTCCCTTTGGTTCCCTGTAAAATGGTCCCACAACATTCTGGAACATATATGAATGAAACAAACAATCATGTAGGTGTGGCTGATCCCATGTGTCTCTTTTTACCATGTGACTGGCACATTGCCTGATGGGAAGGAAGGGGAAAGAGCCATCTGATGGAGGGAAACCTGACATGAAATCCAAACTCAAGAATGTTCACTTGCCTGTTAATGAAGAGCCCAGCTCATCCTGGAATGCTAAAGAGAGATGAAAATAAATATTGGCTTGAAATTATAGGCAGAAGCAGAAACATTAATGTACTTGTTTGAAAGACTGAGCGAGAGTGTCCCAGATAGAAGAACACTTGGCCCACCAGTTCTGATCTGTACCCTTTTATTGTGTCAGAGTTACAGTTATTGAACAATGGATATTCCTATACTTGCATCCTTGTATGGAAAAGGTGCTGTAATCACACTTATGCCCAACATCTGGAAATTCAGAAGACAGATGTCAGGACAAGGAAAACAGAGCGGAAACTATTGCCAAGTTGTACATCAGGGGTGGAAAAAGTTGCCCCTCCTGATGTTTTAGACTACAACTTCTATTATCCCTTATAAACAGCTTTGATGGAGCTGGGAGTTGAAGTCCAACACTTCTAGAGGGCCAAAAGCTTCCTTACCCCTTTTAGTCAGAGACCCAACTCACTTTGGCTGAATCCTACGGTCCTATTCCATTTGTGCAGTGCTCAGTTATGTGAGTGATAAGGTCTTCTTTTTTTGAGCTTGTGCATGGAATTATGCAGTACTTTCTTGCACAAACGTAAAACCCACAGAAAACAATGTGGGTCAGAGTCCTGTCTCTCCATACCCCCTGTCCGTCTCTGCTTTGCTCCACAAAGTGCTGTGGCATTTTGATAACACTGCTACAGGCTGGGCAAGAGGGACCACATCGGTCCTCTTCTGACCACTCTAATTTTTGGTCCTTTAGTATTCAGTAACTCTAGCTAGCAACAGGGTGCTCTGAGGGAACACTTCTTATGGACCAGACAGTTGATGAGTGTTTCTGTGGAACCTGGAGAGAGCGAAGAATTAATTAATTTTATTTATTCATTTCATTTCTATACTGCCCCTATAGTGCAACCACCCTATTCTAGGTGGCTGACAAGCTAAGATCAAAGAATTAAAAAAAAATCAAACAATGAAATGAAACAAAATAAAATCAACATTTCAAGGCATACATGTTGGTCAGAATTGAGTCATTTTTCTTCCTTTCCCTGAGACAAGGAAAGAAGGGGTTGAAGGAGGCCTGTGGGTATAGCAGGAAGTCAGTTTGCTCCAAAACCAAGACCAAAAGTGGTCACTTTGCTCTCTGCAGGAAATCTTAGGGCACTGTGGGTTTCCCCTAGCAATACGACAAAGAACAGGAGTCTGTTGGAATGCTAATGCTGTGCACCCTCATCTTACCTCAGTCTTGCTATATACGTGGTCTCTAAATGTGCAAATAAACTTTATAGCAAAATGTTTCCAGCAGCTATTTATTTCGAGGAAAATGGTAAACACTGGAACCTCTGAAATGGTTACTGCTCAAAAGTAGGGTAGACATTCATAACACTCAGTACTGTGGCCCCTAAGTTAGAAATAGTTATGCTAAACTTACCATCATAAGTGAGGAAGGGATCCTGCTTGGACTGTAAGGAGCAACCTGAAAGGAATAACAAAAGCAAATATATTATATGGACGGTAGAATGGTGTCCTCCATGTCTTCTAAATAGAGCGACAGACTCACAGTTTTTCCAGATAGAACATTTGGTCTCCACAGTGTGCCTGATTGTGCTGTTGGTATTTTTCTCATCATCCAGACAATACAAAGGTTGTCTCGGTTCCATGAGTGACAAAACTCAAGACATTCTAGTGCTTTCCTGCCCTTCCTGCATGATATGGTATACTTCTTTTCTCAGTTTTTTTTAATGTGGGTGGAGTTTAGCACCATGCCAGTTTCCCACTTTAAGGTTTCAACTATGTTTCTCAAAGTACAAACACAAACAAACAAGTACTATCTATCATCATCAACATCCTAGCATGAGATTAATTTTTGTTTTAAAAGTACAAGATATTATTGACAGAAGAGTGGCTGGAAGTTCACTGCATGGGTCAAGTCCCTGGTTGGAAGCTTTTAACGAGGAAAAGAGAGAGAGAGAGAATGAGAATAAAGTGTGTATTGAAAGGAAGAAGCCAGGAGTTAGTGGAAGAACTAACTAACAAGAAATTCCAGCATTCTACGCACAATGCAAACGTTTTGAACTATTTTAAAGGCTCTCCAGATTTTCCTTAAAGAATAGACAGAAGTAACTTTTAAAAGTGTACTTCGGCCAAATCCTGGTTCACTCCCATGCTCATCTGGAACAAGCAGGGATTAATGGGAATGGGAATGGGAATAGGGAGGAAGATGAACTTTTCCTCCATCTGAAAGAACTGTCAGGATGACCTACAGTCATCATAAGTTGAGATACTGAGCTATGGAATTGCAGGTGTGTAATGCCAGCAACAGCTGCAACCACCCTGGAAAAAGACAGCCATGTGTGATGGTTCCAAAGGAAAAAAATAGGATGATTTGCTCACATCATAGAATCGTCTTGCCTCCTTTGGCCATTCCAAGCTGCTCTTTTTAGACGGGTGGCTTTTTTATAGCTCAGTGGCTTAGAGATCTGGTTGAAAGTTCGATTCCACACTGTGCCTCCAGGGAGAAGAGCCAGCCTTGGGCAAGCTGCACAATCCCAGGATGTCCCTAGAAAAAGGGAATGGGAAACCACTTCTGAGTATTCTCTATCTGTAAAACCCTGAAAAGGGTCATCACAAATCAGAACTGACTTGATGGCACATGATCATTATGTTATTATTATATTGAGATATGGTAAATCGTTTCCTTTGGGACCCTAAGCCATTTTGAAGACCTTGCCATGAAAAGGGAGAAGATTAGAGTCTTGAATAACTCTCCCTCCTTCAGATAAGGGAACGGGGAGATGAAAACAGAAATCCAAAGTGAAGAAAACTGTTAATATCCCTGTAGTTGCTAATGACATTTGCACACAAGAAACTACACAGAGCAACTAGAAACAGCCTCCATACTGCAATCTGAACACTTGATCTGTTGGTTGTGACAAGATGTCAGACTGTTCCAGCTGTTTTGCCCTGTGCCTAAACCAGCTAGTGAAACAGAAAAGGCTAAGAAACCTAATAATTCATGTCTTATAGCAGCAATAGAAGGATACAGTAATAAGGAATTGATATTAGAGAAACTAAGCCTCTACTTAGGAAAAATTACTAGTTTTGAACAAGTGATCCCCACAAACCAATTATTGGTAGGGGACAGACACACAACTTTTGGGGACATCCAGGTTGCGGTGCTTAACAGTGGACTTCACAAGACCACCTCAATGTAAAAACAAGTGGTTTATTTTTTTCCAATGAAGTGCTGCCTGGACATCTTAACCCAACTGCATGGGGAAACTGTCTGATGTTGTATACAGTCAAGAGGAAAACACTGCATAGGGCTGAACCCTGCCTTAAATCAAACCCAGCCAACATTTAATTGATAATGGCCATACAAAGAGAAGACCTTTTTTATGATTTCAGAGGAGCTTTAGATCAAACTTGGCCATAACCACATTGATGTGGAAGAGAGACATTCCCTGTCTTTCTCTCAACTTTTGCACCCATGCCTAAAATCATAGCTCCTATAGTTGAGTCCCTGTCTTCTCTTACTCATGGGAGATCACTGTACATTTACTTGATACTTAACATCTGGTGTGAACTAGACGTCCATGTCAATATGAATGAAGAATTATTTTTACCTACCTGGCTCTTCTTCATGAGACTGGAGCTTCTCAACCCTGTAGGCCATTATTGTGCCTTGAGGAATGAGCAAGGACTTCTGTTTTATTCTCTTATTCAAGCCCTGTGCATTTGAGAACAGATTGTTAGGAGGGGCTGTATACTAGAGATGAGTAGACTTCAGGTTTGTGAGATACCTTGTTTTTCTTGCTATAACCTGGAGGTCACTAAATGCTAAATTTAGGCAGGGGGTGAGAGTGCTGAAGGACATACAGTCAGAATTAAGGAGCAGAGTGCCAAGCAATGAAAATTCACAGGCAAGGAGCCAACTGCTGGAAGGAACCAGAATTTATTGCACTGCAATTGATTAGTGTGTTAAAATCAAGATATGGATTGTCTTCTCTGGTCTTGAGTTGCAGGTGGGTTACATGCCTCTGCTGTTACTGCCTAGCTGCAGAATCCCATTTCTGTAAGGATTGCTAATAACAGGTAGTAGGAAAGGTCAAGCCAATATTATCTTTTGCACTTATTCTGTCAATTTTGTTTATAAACAAAAGAGAGGAGGAAGAGGTAGCGGAAGGTTCATTCATGCTTATTCAGGAATTCGTTTCCGTGTCTGACCCAGTCTTTGTTGCAGAATTTTGAATTTTGATTAAATTCTTTTAGTGCAGGGATTCAGAGCTTCAAGTTCCCCAGATTAGTCCAACCCTTTTTCTCATCAGCTGGCACTTACAGTCTCAATAATTCACTCAGAGGCATTTGCAGTAGAAAGAATAAAAATAATTTTCTTTTCTTACAGTTCTAAACAGCTCTGGCGTGATGACAGTACTAAAGCTACCAGTTGGAGAGGAACAATTCACCAGAAACATTCTGAAGTGCAAAGGGCATAACCCCCTACCACTAGGAGAATCCAAAACTGTCTGGTATCTGGGTGGATCGATTCAGGAAACCAATTCTAGCAGTTCTTTATCCCCACGAGAAAGAAATTCTCTTTTAAGTTAATGCCTCTGATACTTTGCATTAGAACAGGGACATCTAATTTCACAGCCAATATACTGTTGCTGGAATAATAATTAATAAAATCTTCAGAATATAATTCTAACCTAATATTGAATGTGATGGCTGTACTTGCATCGGGGCAACAAGCTTCAAAATTTGTGGCTAAGTATCTGTGAAGATTCTCAGTCATCCAGCTGACATTATCTGGAAGTTGAGTCATGGCAACTGGACTTCTTTCTTGTTAGGCTGAAACATTTTGTACTCATCCAAGCAGCTTCTTCATTCTGAGGTGAGTTGGTAGGAGATTCCTGATATATCCTTCACTTTCCCCCTGGTCTGAATAGGCTCCTTAGAAGGGCAAAAGACTGGGGGGTGAGGGATAATCCTACTTCTGCAGTTCTTCTCGACCCATTGCCATGGGTCATTGAGGGTTGTTAACAGTTATCTTTCTTGTGTGTGTCCCTAATCCTTCTGGGGAGGGATGAAAGGGCAGCATGATAAATAGGAGACAGATTGTATCTAAGGCGTCCACTCCTATTGAGTGAGGGATTTTCTATATGCACATGTATGGCCTCCCTGACCCCTCTCTCAAATCATCTCACTTTTCCATCTAAAATGAGTATATTTGTGTTTGTTAAAGCCACTCCCCTCATCCCGGCAGTCCCTTAACAGGTTCTGGGAGGTGGAGCATCTAAAATGAGTACATTTGTGGCGGAGTGTTTGTTAAAGCCACTCCCCTCGTCCTGACAGTCCCTTAACAGGTTCTGGGAGGTGGAGATAACAAGGCTGGGTTAAAATTGGGTTTCACTGGGGCAGAGTGAGTTTTCCCTCAGGAAAGAAAACATTTCCTTTTTTGTTCTCCCTGCAGTGGTGGCTCTGCCACCACTTCCTCCTCAGCCTTCCTCCCTAATATGGCAGTCGCAGCACATGGGTGAGGCAAAGAGGGGATGAAATTGCTTCAGGAGTGGCAGCGGCTGTGGTAATGACCTTTTCCTCCTCCACCACCATTCCCCCCCCTTCCTCCAGCCTGTTGCTACCTCTTTGCCCCTCAGTGCCCACCACAGCTGGCCTGGCTCGGAGGGACTGTGGCTGGGTCCCACCTTCCATTCTGGCCCCCACTGGCGCCAAACTAACCACCAGAGCCGAGGAGGTGCCACCACTGCTTCACAAAGAGCGGGTGCAGGCAGGAGGCCCTTGGCCTGCAGAATGGAACCAGAGAGGGGAGTGTCAGTCAAGGGTGATGTGCCCCCTCCTCCAAAAACTGCAGTTAATCCCCTTGGGTGTTGGGGACCATGCAATAGAAGGGAAATTGCAGCTAAGCTCATAGTGGATGGGAAAGCCTCAGGTCTGAGTGGCAATGTATTCATTCTGTTAATTAACTTATTGTTTTTATTATGTTTAATGATGATGAGCTGCCTTGAACACTACCTAATTTGGAAAGGTAGGATAGGAAAAACACCAACAACCTCTTGATGGTTTGAACCCCCAGACACTGACTGCACTATGACACTGACATCAACCCTGCAATAGCTTTTTCACGGTGGAACCTATATATAAAGATTGACTTGCACCTATATAAGATGATTCAGCTTTGCAGCGATTTGATTCACAGCTTGTATGATGTCTGAAATCGCAATAAGTGCTCACACAGCAGCTGTGGTTTGATTCATTTTACTGTTAATGCTGATTGCGATGTGAGTCTCATTCCAGCCCACAGTCTCCCTTCCTTCCCTTCCTCCCTTTCTCTGGTGTAGATTTTTTATATGAGCAGCCAGGAAAGAACCACAGGAGGGGTTGGTAGCTGCATTGGCTGGATGCCAGGATGCTGGTATGGGGGTAAGAAGAGTTGCAAGTGACTCATGAGGAGGTATGTGCCAGCACAAATGTACCAGGCATGGTTTGCAGACAAGCCGGATAGAGCTTCCCTTGCTCATCTGAATATCCTCTCCAGGGATCCTCTCCACTCAAGCTTGAGTCTACTACATTTCTGAAAAACGTATGGAAAGGTACTTAATAATCTAATAGCAGAGAGCATCCAAAGTCTGAAGAGTTATTTTGCAAAATGCATCATAATTCACGTCTGAATGATTCCATAACAGAGATCACCACATTTCCCTTCTCATCTGTGACTCCTTTCCTTTTACTTTCATATAAGGCGTGCAAGAATTACCTCATCTCTGGCCACAGTTTATCATGCCAATAGTTTAAAATGATATGCAGACAGAGATGAGGTAATTCTTGCATGCATTACTTGAAAGTAAGGGAAAGGAGTCACAGATGAGAAGGGGAAACCTGTATGGAATCATTTTGAGTTGTGAATCACAATGTATTTTACAAAATTACTGTTCAGACTTTTGATATTCTGTATTCTGAGACTGTGAAGTACATTCACGGTCTCAGAATTTTCTATAAACAAGTTTTTCAGAAATGTAGTTGTCTGAAGCTTTAAATAAGAAAGTAGCTTAACAGCAAACCATGATCATGGTCCTTTGCTTCTGCATGTCCCCATCCACCCCTGGACCTGGATATCATGCCCCAATCGCCTACCTCACTGAAACACCACCTACAGACATGAACATATCACAACTATCACATAGGAAAAAGACAGTTCAACTCATTCTGGCTTAAAAAGTTGAGGCCTCCCAGTGGCAAAGGCAAAAACCCTGCTCTGGTAGCAAGAAGGGCTGGACCAATTTGATTCAGCCTCATGCAGTCAGTAGAAAATACAGTACTTCAAATTCATCCATTTTGTAAGTGGAGCAGATCCTGTGGTATTTGACCATGTAGTTACACTCTGAGTTGAGAGAAGAGGGAAGAAAAGGAAAAAAAAAAAAGGCCCAGTCAAGAGCCCTAAACAAACCTGTATTGTAAATATATCTCTCACAGTAACCTCTCCTTTGCCTCCGCCTTGCATGATCTCTTCTACTAGTAATGATTCCATTATCTCAAAAACCTCGGTAACAATGTAGAAATCCAGTTTAGGGGAGAGCTGCTGGATAATGCTGTGAGATATCTCAATTGCCCTAAAACCAATATGGAGACATGTTAAAGTTGCATACCTGCAGGCGACTCCTTGACTTCCAGAAGCTACTGCTGAAGGTACAAGCAAGGGACGTTTCATGGCAAGCCAGTCAGAGCTACAAAGTGAACATTTCCCACAGGTAGAAGTCATCCTAGGGAGCCTCAGATTCAATACATTTTTCTGCCTGAGGTGAAGGACGCCCATGTGGAGAAGTGAAATGCTCCATCAAAAGCCAGAGTTTGGAAGAAGTTCATCATCATTATCAATTTGGAACTCCCATGTCTTTCTATGTGGAGAAGTGGAATACTCCATCAAAAGACAGAGTTTGGAAGTTCATCATCATTATCAATTTGGAACTGCAGAGCTGGAAGAGAGCCTATGGATCATCTAGTCTGGCCCCTGTCAAGGAGGCACCGTGGGAAATCGAACTCCCAGCCTCTGGCTATGCAGCCAGAGGCCTAACCCACTGAGCTATCCAGCAATTCAATGACATCTTCGCTGGTGGATTCTGGGAATTGTAAACTAGATCATCTTGGCTGGTGGATTCTGGGAATTGTAAACTAGAAAAATACCTTTTCTGGCTCTGAGCCAAGTACCTGCAAACAGGACAAACCCCCTTCTCCAGCATTTGGGGGTAGCAGGCTAGCCCCAGAGATGAGGCACCAGGCAAGTATGATGGCACACACTGCTCTGTCCTCAAACAGCTTTAACGCTGCTCCCCAACTCCCACCATCCTACAACTGAGGCAAACAGAGTTCTGCTGGCCAGCAAAGACACCTTTCAGCAGCCACCTGAACACTAGAACTACACAGAGGTAGGATCTCTCCTGCTTTGAAAGGTGAACGAAAACATAAGGCAAGTGACTGAAAATGGCTGCTCCTCTTCCACCCTCCCAGTGAAAAGGGGCTTGCTCTGTTTTCTTGTCCTTGCCTGTCCTCTTGTGGACATCTTTAGAAATGCAGTATTATCAAGTTCCAAAACAGGTTTGATTTGAAAAAGAAAAAAGTTCTCCCCTCAGAGCCATAACTAGCCGTTTTGGCACTCCCAGCCTCAGCCATGGGTGTAAGCCCTCCATGAAAAGGAGGAAGAAAATGTCATTCCCCCCCCCTCAAAAGAAAGAAAAAGTTTATGGTGTTCAGGAAAAGGAAAGTGAACAGGGCCAACTACACAGAGTGTATTTTCCTGACACTCGCCAGTAGATTCATCTCCAGTTTTCGTGGCCCATGAAATTCTGATGCCCCAGGTCAAAGCCTTTATGGAAACCTCTTTGCTTTCATCCTCTTATTTTAATGAATGCTGAGTGCCAAAGAATTTGTTTGTTTGTTTGTTTGTTTGTTTGTTTGTTTGTTTGTTTGTTTATTCATTCATTCATTCATTCATTCATTCATTCATTCATTCATTCATTCATTTATATGCCACCCACACTACCCAAAGGTCTCTGGTCGGCTTACAACATTTAAAATACAATAAAAATTCAGAACAATTAAAATGCAATTAAAATATTTATAAAAATTGCCATCGGACCCACAGCTAATATTATTTCAATTAACAAGTATTTCAATTAAAAGTAATGTTATTTCAATTAAACTTACAGGTAGCAGCCTGCTGGAGCCCCATACCATTTGCCCCTTATATTAAACATGGTCAGGCTCTTATATCTGTGAAGATTCTTAGTCAGCCAGGTGAGGTTATCTGGAAGTCGAGTCAACTTCCAGATGATCAGGCTCTTGTTTCTATGATTTGAGTACAGAAAGAGACCATTACAGCAATGGTGGGCAAAGATCTTAACAGTCCTGCTCTGCAGTTTATAATGATATCCCAGACACTGCTGCCCAAGGGAGTTCTCTCTTTTTATTTCTGATTAGGACTGACAAGACATGTTAGCAAACCTCCCGTTTCCAGTTTAGACTATAATTCTAATTGGCCCTTGTTGTTGTTTGTTGTTTAGTCCTTAAGTCGTGTCCAACTGTTTGTGACCCCACAGACCAGAGCACACTAGGCCTTCCTGTCTTCCACTGCCTCCCAGAGTTTGGTCAAATTCATGTTGGTCAAAATTCATGTTGGTAGCTTCCATGACACTAACTGGCCATACTGTAGTCCAAAAATGGAAAGTTGCCAAGCTCTGGGAACTGAGATAATTTTTTAAAAATGTGCTTTCAATGGGAATAGGATTTGGAGTTAGGGAGGGTGGAGGGGAAGGGGAATGGCTACGGATGGAGGAAAGGTAAAATCCCAGAGAGCAAGAGAGTACTTTTAGACAATTGTGCTAAAGAGGAAGATAACAAAACAACAACAACAACAAACAAACAAAAAACACTATTTAACACATTTTACCAGAATTTCTATAGTTACTAATCTCTCCGTTCCTTAGTTAGACCTTCACATTTTATCTATTCTTTCCAGTTTTGACTGGCCTTTGGTGTACGGCTCGCTACTCTCTCTCTCTTTCTCCTCTGCACCCTACCTGGCAAGCTACCAAGCTATGCTCACCACAGTTCTTTGGTGTCCACGTAGGTTTTCCTCACATGTGCAGGAGAGGCTGATGTGCAAGCTGAGCCCAAACCAGAAATGTCCACTTGGGTTGACTGCACCTTAAATTTTAGCCTTGCCCCAGACTTGTGGCAGGAGTTTGCACAAAACAGGAGTGGTTCAGCATGTTTCAGTCCTGGGGGGAAAATAAGTAAGGCAAAAGAAGAGGTCTACTTATATGTACTGTATTGATTCAGACATCATGGTCAAGGAGATGGGGAGAGGAGGGTAACATCAAAGGTGGGCATCATTCAGAGAGCTGGCCATATGTGGCCCCCCTCTTTTTTTTCAGCCGCCTCCAAACATGGTCCTCAGCTGTTCAGCCTCTGCCAATGGTCGTGAATGATGGGAGTTGCAAGCCAGCAACCCCTGAAGGGGCACAGATTCCCCAGGTTCCCATAAAGCAGTCAAAACCAGAGCCCATTTCAAGCCTATTAAATAATATCAAACAGTGTACCTATTTCCAGTGTTGTTTCTTCCTGGAGAATATCTGCCAGTTTGAAAGAGGTTGGGGAGTATTTCCGGCTGTGACCAAATAACCTGAATGGTTCTTTTGTTACCAGAGAAAGAGGCTGGAAGCTGTCGTTGTGGGCCAGGCTAGTCATTGGAATCAGCGTCCCATCTGGGTCCAGTTCTTGGGTCAATTGCTTGGCTAGTCTCTTAAACATTTTCCAACCACCGCCACCGCCAATGGGGCAGAATCTGAACCAATGGGAGGGTGCTGAACAACCTGGAAGAAGAAAACAGCATTCTTTAATATACTTTATGAATATGAGGGGGAAAAATCTTTTTCTGTTTTTTAATGTTTGTTTTTGTTTGTGGGTTGTTGTTGTTTTGAATGACAGCTGTCAGGTTGAGGATCAGGCTGGCACTTGAAAAACACAGATAAAATACTATCTGCTGAAGGGCAAAACTGTCCCTAGAATGGCAATAAACTTGGTCATGAATGTGGACCTGAAAGCAATGCCCACCAAGTAGGCACAAGGCATTCCACTGTCCCAAAGGGTTTTGTAGCTGCTCTCAGAGTCTGTCCTCTGTGAGAGCCACCGGCCCCACTTTCATTGGTCTCACCTATAAGGCTTGGGCTTAGTTTAGCCCTCCCATTGCCTGTGGCTATAGGCTTATCTGGTAAACAAGGCCAGATTGTTGAAGTTATTTCCTGCTTGAAATTTCCAATGATATACCAGGGCATTGTGGGAAACTTAAGATGATACCCCACCTGCTGCCGCCGCCACCAAAACTGCTGCCAGACATACAGCCCACTGATGTGTGTCTCTGGAGGATAGAGTTGCCAGGTCTTATGGCACTGGACTGAATTCTTGCGGAATTGCTATGCTTTCCCATGTTTCCAGATGTGGAGACAAACCTCAGGGCAAACGCCTCAAGGGGCAGAATGAAATCAGTTTGTGCACGTGAAGAGCCCCAGTAGGGACTGGTAAAAATCTCCCAACAAATTATGTATGATATAGTCAAAGCCACGTGAGATATGGAGCTTAGTAGTAATGGTGACAACTGTTGTGGGTGGTGCCATATTTTACTCCCTGTCTAGATCCTGAAAAATTAAATAAAAAATATTATTTTGTGCTGACTCTGGCATGTCATAATAGTCAGTTGTCTGTATTTTATCTGGATTCTGGGCACATTTATTTAGCTTCCCTTTGTAACCATTTTCATAGTTTACTGACCCAAGAAATAGCTGTACCACCACCAAAACGTTTGCCTGCTCTACCTCTGTGACATCACAAGAGCCGCCCCTCAGTTTCAGGTATTTGGGCCTGATTCTACATAAGGCTTGGAATTTAAGTCCCAGCTTGCCTTATTCCCATACCTGAGGGCAGAGATATCTATTAGGGCAGAAAAAGTCAACCACCTTCAGGGTAATTTCTTAAAGAAGTGAAGCCAAAGAAAAATCAGTGAGGACAAGTAGATAGTCATGGATATTTTACACGGCTAATGGAAACACTGATGAGGTGAAGAATGATTCAGAATTCACAGATAAGAATGATAGCTTTTCTCCCTTTTTTTTTTTTTTTTGGAAATGCCTGATTTCTTTTATTCGCTCTGCCAGTTAGAAATTCAACATGTATACTGTAACTGAGATGCCATTGCTAGAAGTGAACTGGGTATTGAATTTCTTTTTATGGGGGTGGGGGTGGAGGATTCTGTCATATGAACCACATCTCCACAAAGAATGAGGGAAGGTAGAATCCTAGGATGTCTTAAATTTAATTGTCATCTGTCAATTTTTTTTAAAAAAAATCTTCCTTGGAAATGAATGACTGAAACTTTATTCCAACCATCTTTAGATCAAAATAGAAAATGAGTTGGTGAACATGAAAGGAGTAAGATCAGCGAGGAAAAGACCAGAATAAAAATTCACAGTTACTGTGAATTTAACACACAAAATGTGTTAAAAATTTCCTTCCAACTGAGGAGCAAGCTGGTTATGAGGATAAGGTTGTTCTTGTTAAAAGTTTCATTTATTCAATAAAAAATCCCTTCCTATAAAAACCAAATGGAGCACTGCTAAAGGATTTTGACCACTTTGTAATTAGTAATGATTTCTTACAGTACTTCTAAAGGTACAAAGCACATGATCCTTTTTTATTTTGTTTCACTGTGAATCTATCACTACAATTTTTTATCAAGAGAGAAGAGTGGTGGCAGCTACAGATGTCTGGCACAAGACCTCCACTTAGGGGTCTTGCAGACAGTGCCAATTTCCACTTGTTTCCTGCACAGTTTGAGGGCATCCACACTGCCATATAGATATAGTGTATGGGTCGCTGATGGCACAGTTTAGACTGGAAAAAAAGACTGTATATCCATGTATTTCTACTTAGATCAAGCCATCTTTCCTCTTGAAGAGCTGTCACACACCTTTCTGGCCCTGGGGTAGGGCATGCATTCTTTTTCGCATGCTCATTGTTTAGCTTGTTAAACCAGGAGATAGCAGCCTCATCATGGCTGCAGATTCAGAGAGAGAGAGAGAGAGAGAGAGAGAAAGTGTGGGAGAATGAGGGAAGGGAAGCAGGGAGGGTGAGAATGGCACCAAGAGAAGGCGAGAGGAGTGATGTAAAAAATTATTCTTTTCCACTTTCCCATCACAGACAATCAGGATTAGTGCTTAATTGACAGCTGATTGGGCTACAAATGGCAATGCACCTCCCTCCAACCTCAACTGACCCTTTGTAGCCCGATTCACCCCATACCAAAAATGCCTGTTTGCCTTCTATGTGTGTGATTCATCAGTACTAGTATCAATCCACAAATATTCCAAAAGATATTGGAGGAGGGGGAATGCTATAGTACTACCCCACCCACTCCTTTTTGAGGCAGGCAGGCAGGGTAGCATTAGGATCTTAAAAACACATCCATACAAATCTTTACATTTGGGGAAAGGGAGACTTCCTAGACACCAGTGCTACTCAATGATTCAGCTTTCTTTGATCTACCCATTCACCTAGCCTTTGGCATAGTGCTACCCCACTCACTTGCGGACAGGAAGGCAGAGTTGCACTAGGATGGAAACACATCATAATGGAATGCTTCTGCCTGCCACCAACCTCAGAAATGATCTGAAAAGCACTATAATGCTAAATTCTACCACCAGGAACAATGCACGTTTTAAAATAAGCCATGCTTTGCAGGAAGGATATTTTGACACAGGAAGTGGCAGTGTGTTCCTGCCACTGGTCATAACAATTCACACCCTACATTGTCTGGAAAAGAGGGGAGCGTGTGTGTCAGTAGCTTCAGGAATCAAGCATACCACATAGAACAAATGTTCCATCTGACGGAGTCTTGAATTCTAGGCATTTAGAGTAGATTTTATTGTTAGTCCAAGCTTCAGCTGCAAGAGAGCTTCAGGGACACTAAAAGTTGTCCAGTGATGGTGACTACCAGCACTGGGCTCCAGAGAAGAGTGTTGTTGGTTGCTGTTTCTACAAAGAATCACTAAAATGTGAGCCTCCACTTGCAATCTCAAGGCAAAACTATATGTTGCAGATAGCCTGTGACTAGAAGAGGGAATTCCCTAGGTGCTAAGAATGTCTGTCACAGCAGGAGTGTTCCACATCTCCCATTGCTTGTAATTTAGCTTGCTTTGTTTTTTGACTGGTCTTCAGGTAGGAACATTGGCTTCATTTGCAAATACAATAGCTCAGTTACAGAGGCATAGTCTGAACTATGCCTCGGCCATTCACACAATACAATAAACAAACTATAGGCTTCATTTGCAAATACAACAGCTCAGTTACAACAGCTCAGCCATTCACACAATACAATAAACAAACTATGGACTCTGCAATTAGTTTAATCACTCCTGCTGCAAGCAGGAGGCATTGAATGGAAAGCGTCATGGCTATACAATAAAGCAGGGTTCCTAGCTGATTGCTTCATGTGGCAAAAGTTCTTGCAATGCATCTACATAGCATTGTTTAAATTGAATCAGGACCTCCCAGTTCCAGCTTCAGCTTTATTGAGTCAAGTCAAATACATGACTAATGGCCATTGCAAATAGAAGCTAGATAAAAACATCCAATAGTAATACAACATAGAACATAAATCAAATTCAGATATCATCTGCAAGTGTGTTTAGACTTGACTGTACAAAATATGTGTCATAGCTGTGCCAAACATGGGTGCTTGATATGTAACTGGAGGATCATAATCTGATATTAACCAATAAATCTTCAAGTCAATGTTTTTACATTTCAGTGATAATAACATCCGCCCTAATGCTCTCTTCTTTGGGGAATTGATATAGACAACACTACAGCAACTCATGTGAAATGTCTTCCGCCTCTCCTCTGGATTTTGCAGTTGTGCTCCCTACTCCTGCCAATCCATACCCTATTCCTCAGGTCTCCAGTGATGGGTATATTTTATATAAGATTTGGATTTGTGGATAAAGAGACTGAAAACAAATTTTTATTTAAAAAAGCCAATGCCTTCAACAAGAGTACAGTATTTGTTCAAGCATGCATCCTTTGTAGATTCTCTTAAGACAAGATAATAGGGGAAGAGAGGGGAAGCATTCATCAGTCAAATGTCCAATGTGCCAATAACAATATTTATTAATTGTATGGGACTAGCATGAGATTTAGTCAGAGTAAATCCAGCCATGAATATCATTAGAAATTAACATTATCCTAAATATGATAAAAAAGTAAGATAAAATAAAATAAGATGAAATCTGGCTTCAGTTCTTCAAGGTACTCAAAGTGTTTCATACACATTATAACCCTGTAACATAGGCATTCTTATCCTTTAAATTAAGATTTAAGATTCTTCAGACATGAACTCTTAAAAGTCCTTGAAGAGGAGAGCTCTCTTTTTAGTACTAACTGTACCTGAAAAGTGGCCCTTGATTTGGCTTAGTCCTGAATACGAGAGGGACACTGTTATCTTTGATGTGATTTCTTTGCTCACTACTGCCTTTAGTAATTAGATTTTGCAAAATTCTGTGCTGTCTTTAATTCTATTGTGTTGTGCCTTTTCTTAGTGCCCAACAAGTATAATCATACTCATATCCAAGAACTAGCAAAACCTGCCTGATCAGACATGGGAGAAAAAGAGTGCACACACCAGTTTTCCTCAATATGGTGCTCATTGGATGTTTTTCATTGCACTGCCCATCACCTCAACCACTAGCTGTG